GTCTCTATAGGTTTGTTTAAGCTAGATTCAAACTTTAATTTTAAAGTACTGGACATAGTTAAGCCTCAGGATATTCGACAGACTTATTTGTGAAAAAGGTTTTGGTTGATTAGACTTTTTATTTTTTATATTCTCCCCCCTGTAATTTTTTCCACTAATGTAAATGTCTTTAAATCCACATTTACACACATTTACACACTATAGGACCAGTTTGATTTCACTCAATTTATATTTATAATTAGGGGGTCCCCATCAGTTGAAGACCCCTGATCTAAAGGAATAAAACTTTATATATATTTACATATTTTTATATTTGAACCTGTGTATTATTTGAGCATCTTAGTATTAAATGCGCAATAACAAGGTACATTTACACACTATAGGACCAGTTTGATAGAGCACAATTTCATATAATTTATTATAATATATATATATATATATATATATTATATAAAAATAGATATATTCATACAATATATATAATTAGGGGGTCCCCTTCCATCAGTTTGGGGTCCTTGGCCTGGAAAACCTTGAAGACCCCTGATCTATTTTATTGACATCTATTGTTATTACTTTGGGATTTTTGCGTATCTTTGTATGGTTGTTTGTTGTTTATGTTCATGCATTTGGCAGACGCTTTTATCCAAAGCGACTTACAGAGTAGGCACAATATTACATATTTCTCATCACTATGACAATACAGTACGGTGTATTTGAGTGTCGAGAAAGGCGCCTTCAAATAAAATGTCTTATTAGGGGGGCCACTGCCGGAGGCAAGGCCCACCTATTACTCTTCGTCATATTTATTAGGGGGGCCACTGCCTTCAGAAATTTTTCTAGTTGTTATTATTGTTATTATCAGTGTTGGGTAAGTTACTTTAAAAATGTAATCCGTTACAGTTACAAGTTACCTTGTTTAAAATGTAATTGTAGTGTAACTTTTTCGATTACTTTTAAAAAGTAATGTAACTAATTACTTTTGATTACTTTTTGATTACTTTAAGGTTTTAATGAGTATTGACCCATGGTTCATTTTAGCATGTTAGTATTAGCTATTGGCCTCAGCTAGCAGTTCAAGGCTAACGTCTTGTTAATGATCATAAACAATCCGGATTCAACATGTTAGTATCTATACTTTTTTAAGTAGCGACACTTTTGACAACCCTAGTCTGAAATGTAGGACATGTCCGGGAAAAAAGGACGTCTGGTCACCTACAGATGGGTAGGCTAGGCTAGGCTAGGCTAGGCTAGGCTAGGTCATAGACATCGATAAACGTTTGTCATGCATCAACACCAAACAGTCAAATATTAGTAAATCAATACGCTTCGTCTATCATTAATTTTCATATTTTGCAAAGGTTTTTCTTTATATTTAAAAAAAAATTTAACTAAATTAGTAATTCTTAATATTTTCGGAAGTAACTGTAACTGAATTACATATTTTCTCATTGTAACTGTAACGAATTACAGTTACTCTTGTTTTGTAATTAACTCATTGACTGCCAGCCATTTTCAGAACAGAGAGTCGCTCACTGCCAGAGTTTTTTGAGAATTTTGACTGATTTTTCAAGAGCCACAGAATAGTTTGTGCTATGACTATGTAAACACCGAACACACCAAAAGAAAGAGTAGACTCTCTTCTTTCATCAGGAAAAAAGATTTTGTTTCTACCTCATTCCGTTCTTCTTCGACGTGCGTCTCACCGGCGCCATTTCTCTCATAGCGAACTATTGCGTTTGTTTTTATTTGCCTACAGTCTATGTTCATCTCCCATCAAAAGTGGCACAGCTACCTAGAGGGTAAATTTGTTACTACATACTCTGTCTAGAAGCCGATATTTACGGGAAAACTTTCGCCGATCGTCCCCCAAGCCACTCGCATTGAAAAACATAAAAGACGTCTATAGACGTCTTTGGCAGCGAATGAGTTAAATCACGTAACGTCGTTACATGTAATCCGTTACTCCCCAACACTGGTTATTATAGTGTGTGTGTGTGATAGCAGGGTGTCCTTACGTTGGCAGGAGGGAAATGCGGAGCTCCAGGCGGCTCCTCCCATGCAGACCACTAGCTGCTCCCCCATTAAGCTGTAGCCCTGCTGGCACTGGAACTCCAGGGCGCGGCCCGTACTCAGGCTGTGCTCGTGCACGCTCCCGTGCATCAGCAGGGGGGGGGCCTGGCAGCCTCCGGCCTCTGGAGACAGGATTAGCATTAGCATTAGCATTAGCATCTGCTAACCCACAGGTTTGTGTTTTTAGCCAGCTGACCAAAAGTAGCTAACCCGATTGGTCCTATTCTGTCATGTGGGCTCAAGCCAGTCTGATCCCACATTAGCATATGCTAACCCACAGGTCTGTAACCATTAAACCTAACCATTAAATCCCTGTTCAACATGAGTCTGACAACTAAGTAAGTAGATAAATAACTTTAGACTTTATCACATGCTCTGATAGGCCGGGATCGGATCGGAAGGGAAAAAAGCTGGATCGGGACATCCCTATCCCGAACCCAACAGAGTTCCTGTTCTTCAGAGTAACCTGAACCCTCT